TTATTACATTTCTGCAAGCAAAAAAAAAAAAAAAAATCATTCAGAAGCTGAAGTATAATTGGCAGAAGCTTGAATCTAAAACAAGAAAAATCTGTAATTTACTTTCAGATAACTCATTTGTTTTTGCTGCTCACTAGAAAAATTGAGCTTTCTAGCCACATATTTGATCAAGCTTGTTTGATTACAGTATTTATAGATTCTAAGCTATCTACATTGATTTATTGCTGAGTCAGGATTTTGATTTGATGAAGAGGCTAAGGAGAGGTATCATTTTGTGAAACAAATTCACTTAGAATAAAACATTTTTGTGATGGAGTAAAAGTATTCACAATCAAATCCTCATAGATATTCATTGACTTATAATAACTAATACCTACTGAATGTTCACTATGGTCTGAGCTGAATGCTGTGTTTCATCTGTATTCTGGTGTATTTCTTCTATAAAATCCAAAAGATAGCTATTATTATTTGCACTTTAATATGTGAGAAAATCAAACAGGATCACAGCAATTAAAAAATTTGCCCAAAGTCACGCAGCTGGAAAGTATCTGAGCTACAGTTTGTGCTACTGTTCAGAAAAACAAAGAAATGTGAAATTCTTGGACCATTTAAATTACCTTCAATGTTATAAAGAACAAACAGATCGTTTTTCTTAGTGGCAAAGAGTGAGGGATTTGATCACAGCACAAATAATGGTAGAGATGTAGGCAGGCCTAACAGTGACATCCTCCTGACTACATTTAGTCAGGGATGTGTTGGACAATAGTAAAAATTAACGTTGGGTGGAAAAGGGGCCCTGTTTTGGTGGGCATTGAAGCAAAAGAGTTTGGATTGAATATATTTTGCTGCTTCTCACACTATTCTACCAAAGTACCCCTAAGACATAAAAGCATGAACTCATATTTGTAGACTATGAGGACATATTAAATCATAACTTTCAGTTGCAAATGACAGAAACCCACTCAAATAAGCATGGGCAGAGTAGGGGAGAGATGTATCGGCTCACGTAATTGGGAAGTCTAAGGGTACAGCTAGTTTTAGGCATAGTTGGATCCAGAATCTCAAAAGCTGTAATTAGGGCTGGCGTGTTCCCTCCCTTTCCTCTCCAACCCTTTCCAGGACAGTCTCTTACTACCGTCTACAGCCCTATTCTCACACTCTACCAATTGAGCAACTCTAGCAGGAAATCTTTTCTGTTAATTGGGGCAAAAAAGTCTTAGAGGAAGATTTGGGGTCATATACCCACTTAGTAACCAGTCACAGTGGCCAGGAGATAGACTGTGCTGGCTGGTCTGGATCATGTTCTTAAGCTTGTAAATAGGAGGTGAGGTACTGGGTCAGCTCTGCTCAAACCGTATGGGATGCATTTCTCAACAGAAGGATCTTTGTCAGAGGAAGGAGCGGGAAGCGTTTCTTGACAAAATTAATGCTGTCCACTGAAGGATATATAATCTAGTGCAAGTTAAAATGTCTTTGAAATAGTGGGTTTTACCTTTGAAATTAATGTAAGTTTTGTCTGAGATGTCTGTTGTAATATTTTTTTAATGTTCCATGCTGTGGATTAAGTTCCCCTAGGATTTCCTTGGGGGACTCCTAGGGGTAAAATTTGAATTCAGGAGGTTTTACTGGGGCATGCTTTTGGGAACACCTGTAAGGGGTAAGGAAAGCAGGATTGAGCAGAGGGAAATATTGAAATGTGATACAGATGCAGCAGAGGCCTCAGCCGATCCCACAGGGAGCTCAGCAGCTGGGAGTGGTTCTTCAGAGATGTCCCAAATGGAAGCAAGGAGGCCTGATCTGCGTACTTCCTCACAGACCAGTGACTGGATACAGGTTACTCTAGGGAGGATGTAACTTTGACAAAGCAGCTTCCTTTGGCCAAGGGCAGTTCCTGAGGAGGGTTAAGTAGTGAGCCTTTAGCAGACATCTCTAGCCGCTAGTGGAAGAGCACGCTGTTCCTAAAACAGGGCAGCTTACTGCAGCTTTCATTACATTAATTCCAGGAAAATGTGTTGTATTTGTCTGTTGTTTTATTAATATTTTGTTTTATTTTATTTTTTTGAGACAGGGTTTCTCTCTGTTGCCCAGGTGGGAGTGCAGTGGTGTGATCTTAGCTCACTTGTAGCCGCAACCTCCCAGGCTGAAGTGATTCTCCCACCTCAGCCTCCTGAGTAGCTGGGACTACAGGCAAGCACCACCATACTTGGCTAATTTTTTGGTTTTTTTGGAGAGACACGGTCTTACTATGTTGCCCAGGTTGGTCTTCACATCCTGGCCTCAAGCAGTTCTCCTGCCTCAGCTTCCCCAAATATTGGGATCATAGGTGTGAGTCACTGCACCTGGTCTGGAATTAAAACAAACAAACAAACAAACAAAAAAAAAACCCTCACACACACAAAAAACAGTATAGGCTTATAAAGATGAGTTTATTCATCATGATTTCAGCTTTTTTCATTTTTTTATGGTTTATAAACTCCTGGGTAAACAGTATATTGCTTCTGTGGGATCAGCCTTTGGGTGACAAGGGAGAATATGGCAGAAAGAACGTGTTTCCACGTGGGCATGCATCAGCCCCACCCTACATTCCATTATGTCTAAGGAAAGGAGGGTTGTTAGAAGGTTGATCCATTTATGCGTACTTTCTCGGGCGCGAAGGTTTCAAACCAGCTTATTTGTTGCTGGTTGAATCTTGTTGACATGTTTAATACTATAATTACTTCTTTTCTTCTGTATGGTGTTAGAAATGCATTTCTTTTTCTTCTTTATTTTATTTTATCTGTTTATTCATCCACCTATTGACTGAATGAGACACTTAAATGTAATGTGAGCCTGGGGTGAAGATTTATTTTCCTAAAATGCAGAGCATGTGTTTCTCTGTGGCAGAGAAGATACTTCTCCCCAAATTCCCTAGGGGATTCTGAATTTCGAGGAGAACGTAGATTTTTCTCTGAATATTACTCCCTCTTATTGAGCTTCCTCTTATTAAAGTTGACCTGGTAAGGGCTATTAAATAGGTTTAAGTATTTAAACATGCATGGTTGAAAGTATCTTAGTCTACTTAATGAAGAAATATTTAGTAAGCACCTATTCTATGCAAGGCACTATTTTGGAGATTTGTGAATCCCATCAGTGAACAAAATACAAAATACAAAAAAAAAAAAAAAAAATTCTTCTTTCCTAAAGTCTGAATCCATCAGGAGGTGGTAGACAGTAAACATATGAAATAAATACGTCATATAGACCACTAAAAGGTAGGAGGAGATATGGGAAAAGACGTAGGCTAGAGTAATTGCTAGTAGCTGGGGATGGGGCTTGGAATTTGGTCAAGATAGACCCCGCTGAGAAGGGGACGTTTGCGCAAGTGTGTAACAGATGTGAGGTGACTCAGTCTGGGTATTGGAGATATAAAGCATTCTAGGAAGAAGGTGGCAGCCAGTGTAAATACCCTAAGGCTGTAGTGGGAAGAAACAGTAGGAGATGAGGTAAGGTGTGACTCAAGCCTATAATCCAAGCACTTTGGGAGGCTGAGGCAGGTGGATCGCAAGCCGAGGAGTTTGACACCAGCCCAGGCAATATAGTGAATATCTGGCATAGGGGTGCATACCTGTAGTCTCAGTTACTTGGGATGCTAAGCTGGGAGGATTACTGGAGCCCCAGGAATTCGAGGCTGCAATGAGCTGTAATTGCATCAGTGCACTCCAGCCTGAACAACAGAGGAAGACCCTGTCTCTAAAAATAAATAAATAAATTTTAAAAATTAATATTTCACACCAAGAATGGTGGCTCATGCCTGTTACCCAGCTCTTTGGGAGGCCGAGGCGGGCAGATCACCTGAGGTCAGGAGTTCGAGACTAGCCTGACCAGCATGGAGAAACCCCATCTGCACTAAAAATACAAAATTAGCCAGGTGTGGTGGTGCATGTCTGTACTCCTAGCTACTCAGGAGGCTGAGGCAAGAGAATCAGTTGAACCGGGAGGTGGAGGTTGTAGTGAGCCGAGATTGCACCATTGCACGCCAGCCTGGGCAACAAGAGCAAAACTCCATCTCAAATAAATAAATAAATAAATAAATAAATAAAGTTAAGTATTCATTATTTTCATATCAAACAAGCTAGATTTCATACAGTGCATTTAAACAGTCTTGATCAATGTGGGGATTAGGGGGACATTTTTTAAAAACTCAGTTTTAGTGCAGGCAGGCCCATTGCTCAGCAAAAAGTAAATATATTAGGGTTGAATTACTGTAAGTAGAATTAGTGTACCATAAACTTAGAATTAATATGTGAATATATTTTAGGAACCAAGATTTTCTTAAAGTTGCAAGTATTGAATTGATGCAGTTTTGAGGCATTTTTATCAATTAAAATTTACTTATCAAATTACTTGATAAATACATATTGAACATCAGCAAGTGCCAGTGTGGCCTCTGAAGATGGGATTCTGCCTCATGAAGTCTAGAGGGAAGGCACTAATATGTGTAAAATTACAATGTTGATAAGAGCTATAGAGGTATAATGGTGCTATAAAATTTTAAAATAGGAGGATTTTGACGTACTCAGGGAGGAAGAGAAGTCTTCTCTGAAGAATCGGTGATTCTGTTGAGTCTGATATCTGAAGGAAGAATGAAAGTAGACAATGACGGAGACCAGCCGTGGGGTGAGGAGAGGAGAGCATCCGAGATCAGATTGCTTCAGAAGCCCAGGCAAAATATGATGGTGTTTAGAGTAAGGAATTTGTAGTAGAGATGAAAAGAAAGAGAGCTTATGTTAAAAAAAAAAAAGTTGGGTTGGCAAGACCTGAGCAATCTCAGTCCATCCTCAGTAAAATGGATCCTCAGGGTTCCATTTTAATTGGCCCTAGAGTTTACAAAGCAATAGATTCTATACTATCTCCTTCACTGACACTTGAATATATGTCTTATCTGAAGAGATGTGTTAGGAATTTTAATTTGAGAAGGTAAGTTAATGAAATTTTTATGCCTGTTTTATTTTAACCTGTAGAATCTTAAGAAGATTCAAGAAATGGAAAAGAGTGATGAATCTAGCACAGATTTGGAAGAGCTGAAAAACGCTGACTGGGTAAGAGCTGGAAATGCTTTCTGATCTGTTTACTGTCTAAGAAATAGTATAATTTTTTTTTTTTTTTTTTGGAGACAGGGTTTCATTCTGTTGCTCAGGCTGCAGTGCAATGGTGCAATCTCGGCTCACTGCAACCCCTGCCTCCCGGGTACTGCAGCCCCCACCTCCTGGGTTCAAGTGATTCTCCTGCCTCAGCCTCCCAAGTAGCTGGGACTTCAGGCATGTGCCACCACGCCTGGCTAATTTTGTATTTTTAGAAGAGATGGGGTTTCACCATGTTGGCCAGGCTGGTCTCAAACTCCTGACCTCATGTGATCCTCCCACTTTGGCCTCCCAAAGTGCTGGGATTACAGGCATGAGCCACTGTGCCCAGCCTGTATAATGTTTTTTAAAATGCTAGTTATTGGCCAGGCATGGTAGCTCACACCTGTAATCCCAGCACTTGGGGAGGCCAAGGCAGGAAGATTGCTGGAGCTTAGGAATTCAAGACCAGCCTGAACAACATAGTGAGACCCTATCACTAAAATAGGAGGATTTTTATTATTATTAAAAATAGTAATAATGAAAAAATTAACCAGGCTGGTGTCATGTGCCTGTGGTCCCAGCTACTTGGGAGGCTGAGTTAGAAGGATCACTTGAGCCCAGGAGGTTGAGGCTGCGGTTAACTATGATCACACCACTGCACTCCAGCCTGGTCAACAGAGTGAGACCCTCTCAAAAAAAATTTAAAAACACTCTTTATTAAGGACTGTAGTATGAATTGATATATAAATATGAATGCTTAGTCTTACATTTGAGGAAATATCTATTCCCCATTTTAAAAAGCTTTCTGGTTTTATTAAAAACACCCCCAATGCCTCTGAGAATTTTAGTGTTTTAAAATATTAATATTTCTATTTATGTTAATACCTTAACACAGCGGTCCCCAACCTTTTTGGTACCAGAGACTGGTTTTGTGGAAGACAATTTCAAGGATTGGGGGTTGAGGGGTGGTTTCAGGATGAAACTGTTCCACCTCAGATCATCAGGCATTAGATTCTCAAAGGAGCATACAACCTGGATCCCTCACGTGTGCAGTTCACAGTAGGGTTTGTGCTCCTTTGAGAACCTAATGCCACTACTGATCTTACAGGAGACAGAGCTCAGGCATAATGCTTGCTCATCCACCACTCGCTGTGCAGCTCAGTTCCTGACAGGCCACAGACCAGTACCAGTCAGTGGACTGGGAGTTGCAAACCCCTGCCTTAACATATTCTTGTGTATAAAGTTTAAGCTATGTTTTCAGGATTAAGTGTGAAACTAACGGCGTTGTACATTTATTTATCCAATGAACAGTTATCTGGATGAGGACCCTGGGAATGCAGAATAAACAATATGGAGTCTCTCTCCCAATAACACTCAGTCCTAAACAGAAGACAGATTTGTAAAACAGATAATGTGGTTTATTCACATGACACACTTTGAGTATCTACAGTTTTTCAGGCATAGTACTAAATCCTAGTGACTCCAAAAATCTCTGCTCTCATATAAAACTTAGAGTTGGTAGGCATGACAGTCTTGGGGACAGAACAGTGAATGTTGCAGAGTGTGTTTGATTGTGGAAGTCCAAGGCCAGGCATGGTGGCTCACTCCTCTAATCTCAGCACTTTGGGAGGCTGAGGTGGGCGGATCACTTGAGGTCAGGAGTTCGAGACAAGCCTAGCCAACATGGCCAGCCATGTCTACTAAAAAATACAAAAATTAGCCGGGCGTGGTGGTGCGCACCTGTAATCCCACCTACTTGTGAGGCTGAAACAGGAGAATAGCTTGAACTTGGAGGCGGAGGTTGAGGTGAGCTGAGATCGTACCACTGCACTCCAGCCTGAACGACAGAGGGAGACTCTGTCTCAAAAAAAAAAAAAGATTGTTGAAGTCCAGGTATCAGGAGGAAAGCACATTTCAGGATTCTGACTTTTTAGGTTAAGAGTGCTAGATAAATCATGCCATTATTATATGAATGGGTTGCTTTTGACCTAATAGGTTTTGTTTGTCACATTATTTTCTAACTGTTTTATTGAGATACAGTAGATATACAGTAAGCTGCACATATGTAAAATGCATAACTTAATAAATTTTGACATATGTTTTGTACATATATATATATTCACCCATGAAACCATCACTGCAATCAAAATAATGAGCCTATTTATCACACCCAACATTTCCTCACATCTTTTTATAATCCTACCTCCTGCCTCCCTCCTTCCCAGTTTCCAGGCAACTAGTCATGTGCTTTCTGTGACTATAGATTAGTTTGCACTTTCTAGAATTTTATATAAATGTAATCATATGGTATGTACTGTTTTGGGGGTTTATTTTTATTTTTTTAGATGGAGTCTCTCTCTGTCGCCCAGGCTGGAGTGCAGTGGCGTGATCTCGGCTCATTGCAACCTCCACCAGTTGGGTTCAAACAATTCTCCTGCCTCAGCCTCCTGAGTAGCTGGGATTACAGGTGCATGCCACCACGCCCAGCTAATTTTTGTATTTTTAGTAGAGACGGGGTTTCACCATGTTGGTCAGGCTAGTGTCGTACTCCTGACCTCGTGATCCGCCCACCTTGGCCTCCCAAAGTGCTGGGATTACAGGTATGAGCCTCCGTGCCCAGCTGGTATGTACTGTTTTTGGTTTGGCTTCTTTCACTCTTCATAATTGTTTTGAGATTTCATCCGTGTTGTCTGTATCCGTAGAGTATTGAGAAGTATTCCATTGTGTGGATATATCGCAGTTTATCTATTCATCTGTTGCTGGTCATTTGGGTTGTTTCTTGTTTGCAATATTCTTAATTTATTGATAGATATCTTCAATATATTTGGAACTTTCAAGACAAAAAAAATACTTGCCTACGTTGTCTTAAAAGCTGGTATTATTTGTCATTTTAGAATAAAATTGATTATTGATTTTCCTTTATGTAGAATACTTGGATAGTGTCGTTCTAGGTGTATATCATCTTGGCCAATAAATTTTAAATTGGTTTTCCAGTCGTTGAAACCAGATAAATAACTTCCAGTGTTCAAAAGTTAGCAAACAGCTAGTGTAAACTTAAAGTAAAAATTTAATTTCTTACTGTAAGCCACCTTCATTTGAAAACAGTGTCATGCCTGACAAGAGAAGCACTAACTCCAGAGGGAGTTATATTTGCGTAGATCACCAACTTCCTTCTCATAAGACCACTACTAGCCGGGCGAGGTGGCGGGCGCCTGTAGTCCCAGCTACTTGGGAGGCTGAGGCAGGAGAATGGCGTGAACCCGGGAGGCGGAGCTTGCAGTGAGCTGAGATCCGGCCACTGCACTCCAGCCTGGGCGACAGAGCGAGACTCCAAAAAAAAAAAAAAGACCACTAAGTGAATTACCTAGAAAGATTAGAATGAAAAGAGCAGAGTTGAGAGAGAATTAGAATGTCTTTAGTAGCAGATTCTAGTTTCAGAATCTTCCTAATGGGATAAGGGATAAATGATAATCTCCAGGAATGCATATGATGACAGTTGTCTGTTATTTTATATAATAACTGCGACTTTAATTTCTGAAAAGTAGTACGTAAGATTTTTTAACTAAACAATTATACACACAAAACCGACTATATAACAAAGTATGGGCCAGGCATAGTGCCTCATGCCTGTAATCTCAGCACTTTGGGAGGCCAAGGTGGGTGAATCACTTGAGGTCAGGAGTTCAACACCAGCCTGGCGAACATAACGAAACCTGTGTCTACTGAAAATACAAAAAATTAGCTTGGTGTAGTGGCGGGCACCTGTAATCCCAGCTACTCAGGAGACTGAGGCAAGAGAATCCCTTGAACCCGGGAGGCATAAATTACAGTGAGCCAAGATCACACCATTGCACTCCAACATGGGGCGACAAGAGCAAGACTCCATCTCAAAACAAAAAACAAAAAGAACAAAGTGTGTTTGAATCCTTTTATAAATTATAGCAAAAGCTTCTAATGTGGGTAACTGTCCCCTGTCCCCTAATTTAAAGCCCGAAGGGAGACTTTTAAAAGATGAGACGATATTTGGACTGCATCTTAAAGGAATGAATAAGAGAAGTGTGGAAGTTGGGACAAAAGCATTCCCAAGAGAGAAATACGGATATTTTAGGGATATTATTTTAGAACATCTTTAATGGCAGAATCTAAGAATCTTTGTAAATATGAATATTTTAGGAGGTGTCTAATGGTACACCATAAGTACCTCAAATCCTTTTTGGAACAAGAGGATGGGAAATGGTATGCTTTTTATATTTTTTGGTAGCTTCTCATTGTCCAAACCCAACTTTCTTTTTTTTAATTATGAATCATTATTGAGGATGTTTTGAGAAATTTAATCAGTTATTTTACATAGAAGATTCTTATGAAATATTTCACTTGATTTTACAGTAAATAGATTTAAGTAACTATTATGTCAATTTTTTTTTTTTTTTTTTTGAGATGGAATCTCACTCTGTCGTCAGGCTGGAGTGCAGTGGCGCGATCTCGGCTCACTACAACCTCCGCCTGCCAGGTTCAAGCGATTCTTCTGCCTCAGCCTCCTGAGTAGCTGGGACTACAGGCACATGCCACTACGCCTGGCTAATTTTTTGTATTTTTAGTAGAGACAGGGTTTCACCGTGTTAGCCAGGATGGTCTTAATCTCCTGACCTCGTGATCAGCCCGCCTCAGCCTCCTGAGTGGGAGGGATTATAATCCCTCCAAAGTGCTGGGATTATAGGTATGAGCCACTGCGCTCAGCCATGTCACTTGTTAATTTTAACAAGTTACAGGTTTTTAGCTAAATATTGTGATGGACTTCACTCAAGTAGAGACTTTGGCACATTATAGGCAGGAGAACAAAAGACTTAAAGTATAATAAGATAAATATAAATAGATTTTGTATTATTTTATGTTTTTTATTTTATTTATTTACTTATTTATTTGAGACAGAGTCTCACTCTGTTGCCCAGACTGGAGTGCAGTGGCACGATCTGGGCTCACTGCAACCTCTACTTCCTGGGTTCAGGCAATTCTCCTGCCTCAGCCTCCTGAGTGGCTGCGATTATAGACACACACCACCACACCCAGCTAATTTTTGTACTTTTAGTAGAGACGGAGTTTCACCATATTGGTCAGGCCGGTCTCGAACTCCTGACCTCGGGTGATCCACCTGCCTTGGCCTCTCAAAGAGCTGGGATTACAGGTGTGACCCATTGCACCCAGCCTTTTTTAGTATTTTCTATGTACAGAGCACCATCCACTGATTCTGATATTCTCAACAAGTAATAAAAGTACCACTTCTTTTATTGATAAGGAAACTACAGCTCAGAAAGGTGCAGCAACTTGCTCCATGTCAAATAGCTGGCAAGTGGCTGTCTGTCAGTCAGCTGTGGTCACAGTAATACTGTGTAACTAACCACTACAAAATCACAGCTGCATAAAGCAAAAGCACTTACTAGCTCATGGGTCTCCAGATCCTCTGTGGTAGCTCCACTTTACAGGTATCTCATCTTTATCCTGGGACCACAGGCTAACCCAGGCTTGACATTCTCATGGCCACAATAGAAACACAAGGGACAAGCCCATTGTACATACCCTTTTGAAGCCCTTGGTCTTATCACACCCACCACTGTTCCAGTGGCCAAGCAAATCATATAGCCAAACCCAAAGTCAGGGTGTGGGAAATGTAGTCTCGTTTAGTGAGCAGAGTCACATAACGGCATAGACGCAGGAAAGCATGAAGAACCTGAGCCCTTAATGAAGCCTACCACAGTGGTGGAGCTTAGGTTTAAAGCCATGTGCCTCGGCAGGTGGAGCCTGTGGATTCTCTACTTTCTTTCCACCCATCTTTTAGTAACCAAAATCTAATTTTTAAAATAGTTTTTGGTTGGTTTACTCGTCGTTTTGTAATCCAGGCTCTTCATTTATTCTGTATGACTGACTGTTTAGAAGAAACTAGTACTTTTATTCATTGATGTCTCTCTATCCTTGGTTCTTTCAGGCACGATTCTGGGTACAGGTGATGAGGGATTTGAGGAATGGGGTAAAACTCAAGAAGGTCCAAGAGCGGCAGTACAACCCTTTGCCCATTGAATATCAGCTCACCCCTTATGAGATGCTAATGGATGACATTCGCTGCAAAAGATACACCTTGCGAAAAGTGATGGTAAGTAACCAAACTGTGAGGCGGGGCATGGTGCCTCACTCCTGTAATCCCAGCATTTTGGGAGGTTGAGGTGGGTGGATCACCTGAGGTCAGGAGTCAAGACCAGCCTGACCAACATGGTGAATCCCCGTCTCTACCAAAAAATACAAAAATTAGTTGGGCGTGGTGGTGCACGCCTGTAGTTCCATCTACTAGGGAGGCTGAGGCAGGAGAATTGCTGGAACCCAGGAGGTGGAGGTTGCAGTGACCCAAGATTGAGCCACTGCACTCCAGCCTGGGCGACAGAGTGAGACCCTGTCTCAAAAAAGAAAAACAAAAAACTATTAATGGACTCAAATAGTTATTCATCCATAATTGCATTTGTTGAAAATAATTTTAATATTAAATTTTTAAAATTATTTATTTTTATACAAGTAATACTTAATCGTTGTAGAAAATTTGGAAAGCACATTAAGCTTAAAGAAGGAAAGTTACAAACATATAATTCCATAACCCAGACAGAAATTTTGTTAACATGTTGATCAATAACCTTTAGCCTTGTTTCTATGCACTTTATTTGGGCATACTGAGTTAATATAGAATGTTTTGTTTTATTACTGGTTGTTTTGCTTAACATATCGTGATTATTTTTTTCATGTCATTATATATTCAACATTATTTCTAAATGGCTGTCTCTTTTCTAGCTTATGGCTATTCTGGAGTTTATTAAACAAATGACCTTGTATCCCTTTATAAGCAACATATCTTGGGTATCCTTGTATGTAAATCTTTTTAAATGTCCACCATGAAATCCTTAAGTTCCTAGATGTGGAACATCTAGTTCATTAGCAAATTCTGACAGCTCTCCCTTTAAAACATACCCTGATTCTGACCACTTCCCTCCATCTCCACTTGAGAGATTTTCTTTTTTTTGAGACAGGGTCTTGCTCTGTCACCCAGGCTAAAGTGCAGTGGCACGATCACAGCTTCATTGTAGTCTCAACTTCCCAGGTTCCAGTGATCCTCCCACCTCAGCCTCCTGAGTAGCTGGGACCACAGGTGTGCGCCACCACACCCAGCTAGTGTTTTTTGTATTTTTTGTAGAGACAGAGTTTCGCCATGTTGCCCAAGCTGGTCTCAAATTCCTGACTGAGCTCAAGTGATCCACCTGCCTGCGCCTCCCAAAGTGCTGGGATTATAGGCATGAGCCATGGCACGTGGCCAAAATATCTTCTATTCCACGCCACCATCATCTCTCATCAGACTATGACAGTAACCTCTAAGTGGCCTTCCTGCTTTCACCCTTGCCCCTTTCAATCTGTTTTTCCCAAAAACAACCAAGTAGGCTTCTTAAGTAAAAAATATGGTCATGTCGTTGCTCTGCTCAGAACCTTCCACTGGCTTTTCATCACACTTGGAAGAAATTCCATGTCCTTACCGGGGCCGGCACAGCCCACATGGCTGGGTCCAGGTTACCTCATCACACTTGGAAGAAATTCCATGTCCTTGCCAGGCCGGCACAGCCCACACGGCTGGGTCCAGGTGACCTCTCAGGCCTCATCTTCTGCTGTGCTTCCCTACAGGGTTCTTCTTCTTCGCCGCCCTGATCTCTGCCAGTGTCTCAGCAGTGCCTAGTGTGCTCCTGTAACAGAGCCTTTGCCTTGGATATTCCTTCTCTCAGGAACTCTCCTCTCCCATAGCTGCATAATTTGCCTCTTTACTTTTCAGGCCTGTGCTCAAGTTCTCCCTCATTAGAAAAGTCTTCTCCATCTCTTTACTCTCGTGTTTCACTAGCTGACATTGCCATATATTTCCAGATTTATTGTCTGTCTCCCTCACAAAGACAAGAACTTAGTTATTCTCACTGTTTATCCCCTTTGACAATAACATGGGCCTGACATGCAACCAAATACTGAATACCTTGCTCAATAAATAGTTACGGGATGGATTAATGAATTCTGTCCACATTTTTGAGGAAATTTAATCAAAGTTATTTTATGTCAGAAGGTTCTTATGAAACATCACTTTGTTTTTTGTTTTTTATTTTTGAGACAGTCTCACTCTTTTTGCCCAGGCTGAAGTGCGGTGGCGTGACCTTGGCTCACTGCAACCTCTGCCTCCCAGGTTCAAGTGATTCTCGTGCCTCAGCCTCCCAAGTAGCTGGGATTACAGGCGCGTACAACCATGCCTGGCTAATTTTTGTATTTTTAGTAGAGACGGGACTTCACCATGTTGCCCAGGCTGGTCTCAAACTCCTGACCTTAGGTGATCTGCCGACCTCGGCCTCCCAAAGTGCTGGGATTATAGGCGTGAGCCACCATGCCCAGCCATGTCACTTGGTTTGATAGTTAAGTGGCTATTTGAGCTGCTCGTTAATTTTAATAAGCTAAACATTTCAACTAAATATCAAATCTGATTTACTTTACAGATGAGGAAACTGAAATTTAAAGATGCTCAGTAGTAACTTTCCAAGTTCAGACAGCTGGTTACAAGGCATAGCTGAGGCTCAGCCTCATTCTCTCTGACCCCAGTGCTCTGTGCTCTGTACATATTCCCCAGTTGCCCTCAGAAATACTGTGATGATGATTATTTATAACAGAAAGTTTTGCCCATTGCTTCACATCCTTATACAAATGGGTGTCCTTTGTGGCTGACCAGTTTGACTGAAAGAAAATATTCTTTCATTTTTAACATCTACATTTATTTCATGCTTTTAAACATTTAAAAATCTATGCTAGCTGTTTGTATTTGTTAATTTTATTTTAATTTAAAAAATATTTGTTAAGGACTTTTTATGTGCTAGACCTTATTCTGACTCTGGAAGGATGTATTACAGTCTCTGTTCTCTCAAAGCTTCCAGTATTTTGGGAGCCACTGATAACCTGTAGGGAAGCAACTAAGTAGGGGGAAAAAATACCCCAACATACACAAAGACCAGGAAACATGAGAACAGCAAAAACAACTTGCCATCATTAGAGGACAGAACAGAATGCAGGAAACTGGAAAGGTGAGAAGAAAAGATGACTCAGGACAGAACCCGTGCGGCCTTGGACCTGAAGTAGGGGAATCTGGCGGAATAACGACGGACAAGGCATAGCCAGAGAGAAGGCTGGAAAGACAGGGGAGGTGGAGGCGCAGCTGCAAAGAGCAGGTGGTGTTTCAGAGAGCCATCGCATCGGGAACCCCATCTCTCAAAAATACAAATTTAGCTCGGGTGTAGTGGTGCATGCCTGTATCCTCAGCTACTTGGGAGGGGAAAGGCAGGAGAACTCGGCTTGAATCCGGGAAGGCGGAGGTTGCATGGCGGAGGATGGCTGCCCATTGCATCCCGCCTGGGCAACAAGAGTGAAACTCCATCTCAGAAAAAAAAACTAAAAAAAAAAAAAAAGAAGAATGAACGGAGCAAAGTACTCAGCCATGGCTGTAATATGCCAATGAGACCGGCGTGATGGCAGCCACCTGTAATCCACAGCTACTCAGGATGCATGCTAGGCAGTCAGAATGACTTCCCGTGAGGCGGAGGTTGCAGCGAGCAGAGTCACGCCATTGCATCTCCAGGCCTGCGGCAACAGAGCGAGACTCCGTCTCAACAAAAAGAAAATGCCCCTGTGCTCGGCTCCTCCGACTCTATCTCCCTTCATTCTTCCTTCTTCCTGCCCTCTAAAACACCCTTGCCGGCGCGCGGTGGCTCACGCTCGTAATCCCCCTTTCGGGAGGCCGACCAGGTGATCCCCGACGCCTCCCCGACGACTCCTGATCCCTCCTGGCTACCGGCGGTGCCCTGCTCTCTCTAAGACATACCCTCACGCTCGCGCGACGTGCGCGGCGCGCCTCGTCCAGTACTCGCGCGAGCTGAAGGAGGCGCCGCGCGGAACTCCGGGACGCCGCGCGCTCGTGCGCTGGATCCGGCCGCTCAGCCTGAGGCCGCCGCGCCGACCCGCTCTCAACAAACAAAACCCAAAACAAAACGACACCTCATACATCGTTGCCTCCTGTCCCATCTCTGCCTCTCACCTCTACCATACAAACGCTCGCTCTCCCTTCCTTCTTAACTAAACGCGAATCAAAACAATTTCTACTGTTGCTCAATCCTCGTTACTCATTTCACAGCGCCTTCATCCTAACCGACCTTCTCTGCAAACACCACCTGCTCTTTGCAGCT